AGATAGATAGATAGATAGATAGATAGATAGATAGATAGATAGATAGAAATCAAATTAAAACAATTGACTCTCTAAGATAGGAATGAAGTAGAGGCTCTGTTACTTCACTGAATCAACCAGAATTTAGATGTTGGACAAACACATTTTTCACTTATTTGATAAATAATTTTTTTTGGAATCTACCCATGTAAGGCATTCTTCCAGCCTCCGGAGACAGAATGGTGAAGAAAGCAAGCAAATTATCTTCTCTCTCAGGTCCTATACTGTGCTGTGGAGTAGCAAACAGAAAGTGAGCAATCTCAGGAATGACAAGATGTAAATAAGATGAAACCACAGAATAAGGGCAACAGAAGCAGGAATCAGTAGCAGATGGACGAATCGGGACTTGAGGTCCAGAGATCTAGAAAGAACTGGCCAGAGACCTAAGTAACAGAGAAACTGAGCCATCAGGTGGTAGTGTGGGGTGGGGGTGAGCTAAGAAAGCGGGGTGGGGGCAGAAGTGAGCTAAGAAAGCACACCTAAAGACAAGGTTACAAGTAAAACCCCACAGCAGGACAAGCTTGGTGTCTCTGCTAAGGTCCAAGAAGCCAGTGTGACCAGAGAGACACTAAAAGAGTCGTAAGACAAGAAACTAGGTTAAAAAAAATCAGAAAGGGCAGATCTTTGAGCCCTATGAATGCGTTTTCTTCTTCCTGTCTTGGGAAGCCATTGGAGAGATCTGAGCAGTGGAATAACACATATAATTTATGCTTCTGACACACTACTGCCTAAGCAATTATTGCACAAAACTGTGGTTTCTGAAGTAAGTGGAATTTTGTGGCTGGTCATGGTTTATCTGGTGTGAATGTTCCTTTGAGCAAAGAGAAGCCAGCCCAGATTCTAGACAGGGGAAGCCATTCTGGTGATAGTAAGTACATGTGTGTTGGTGTACGTAGGAGCTGGGAGTTATGTAAGTGTGAATTACATGGTACCTTCTGTGAACATGAGTTTCAATGTGTGTGAATCAATGCAACACAATGACACGCTGCGTCAGCATAGGAAACATTATTCAGCACATGTAAACATGGCTCAGCACCCAAGAATTCATAGACTCTCGAGAGTACTCAGGAGGAGGCTGCAGCTGGTAGCACCCTAGAATCTTTTCGCTGCAGTTTTCTTTCCGCATTAAAAAGAGGCTTACCAGGAAACCCCATCACAAAATTAAAACAAGCTAAGATTTATTGAGAGATGGAAACAGAGTGCTGTTGCATAATAACCCGCGAAACCAAGAATTCTGGTGTTTGGGGTTACTATAAAACAATGTAAATAACTGATATGCTAGGGTTCACAATAAACAAGTGCATAAGGCCATTCTTCTGTCCTGTTTAGAACAGGATGAGCTGTCCCAGAGAGAGGAGAGAAGTGGCCTTGCGCCGTGGCTCTGATTGCAGAATAGAGGACGAAAGAATGCGAGCAACACAGAGGGCGTGAGATTTGGGGGGAAGGGGTGTTGGAGAGTGGTCAAACGCGTCAAGGACAAAAGGAGAATGAGACATAATGAAGGATGAATGCTTCTGACATTCCATTCAGGAAGTGGTCTCCTGTGCCAACGCGTTCAAGGCCACGTTTCACTTCTCTTCTGTCAGCTTCAGTGTAACTAGATTTATGTTGAGATCTTCAGTCCACTTAGACTCCAGTTTTGTACGGGAATATAGATATGGGTTTATTTGCATTCTATTACATGCTGACATCCAGTTATGCCAGCACCATTTGTTGAAGGCGCTTTCTTTCTTCCATTGTATATTTTTGATATCTTTGTCAGAAATCAGGTGTTTATCAGTGTGTGGATTTATGTCAGGGTCTTCAATTCAATTCCATTGATCCACTTGTCTGTTTTTATGCCGAGACCAAACTGTTTCATTACATTAGCTGTATAGTAGAACTTGAAGGCAGGGATGTTGGTGATACCTCCAGAAGTTCCTTTATTAAACAGGATTGTTTTAGTCATCCTTGGCTTTTGTTTTTCCATATGAAGTTAAGTATTGTTCTTTTAAAGTCTGCGAAGAATTGTGTCGTCATGGTGCCTTTGTCCAGTACCTGATGGAAGCAGATACAGAGATCCACAGTCAAGCACTGGACCAAGCTCTGGGAGTTCAATTGAAGAGAGGGTGGAGAGATTACATGAACAGCGGTTGATGAAGGAGTCAAGATCATGATAGAGAAACCTATAGAGGCAGTTGACTTGAACTAGGGCTCTGTACTGCTCCTTGACTCTGCACTGATAGCTGGGGAGCCTGCATGGAACCTACCTAGGCCCCCCTGTATCTGGGTCACAGTTGTGTAACTTGATCTTTTGTGGGTCCCTAGTAGTGGGACCAGGACCTGTTCCTGATGTGTGAGCTTGCTCTTTGGAACCTAATCCTTATGGTAGGATGCCTTGTTCAGTCCTGATGCAGCAGGCAGGAGCTGGGCGGGCCCTGCTCCAATTTAATATGCAATGCTTTGTTGATTCCTGTGGAAGGCCTTACCCCATCTGAATGGAGATGGAGGAGGAGTGGATAGGGAAGGGTAGAAGAGAGGTGGGAAGGGGTAGGGAACAGAGAGAGGAGGGAAGGAAAACTGTGGTTGGTGTGTAAAATCAATTTCAAAATGATGACCAAAAAAGAATGACTGAAAGACTAGCAGTTCTGGGATGACCTCGTTTCCCCTTTTCTGGGGAAATTGAAAGGAGGGGGAAAGGCTATCACTGTGTAGCCACATCACAGCACTACTTGTGGTGAGAAGCCAAGTGCCTGGGACAGACGAGTGCTCAATACATGTTCTCTCAAGGAGAGTGGCACCAAAATACGTGCACTCAAATTTCTAAAGAGGATGTTTCCAAATTAAACAATAATTAGACCTTACTCACTTGACACTGAATTACCTTCCTGCCTAGGGATATCTTCTCAGCATCCAACCAAATTGCCAACTCCACTCTTGAGAAAATTCCTTTGCTGAAATACAGTTGCTTTTAAGTGGTATCTGGTCATGTTATGACCTGCATTATTTGTGATTATTTTTGATTATTATGATTATGTATGATTATTTATGATATTTGTATATTCTCGGTTGTTCTTAAGCTGAAACAGGATCAAAAAGTACCAGGGAACAAGAGAGCTTTGTAGATGAGTTTAATTTCCCTCCTAATGAGAAGCAAGCCTGTCTCTTTCTAACTTGGAAGTATCACAGTTTGACTCTTTTTGTCAAAACTTACATTGAGATTTAATTCCGTTGTGAGATATTAAGAAATAGAACTTAAATTAATGGCTGAGCAATGAGGGTTCTGCCTTCATAAATGAATTAGTCCATTCATACATTAATAGATTAATGGGTTAGTGGATTTTCTCTAGAATAAATCTGTTAAAAGAACCAACTTGACTCTATCATTGTCTATACCTCTCTCACTATGTAGAGCTCTACACCATCTCAGGAGTCATCAGAGTCTCTAAAAAGATGCTTCACCAAATACAACCCTTAACCATAGGCCTCCTAGATTCTAGAAATGTGATTTGAAAAAAAAATATGTGTACATATGTGTAACATGAGGGCCGGCTTGTTGGGGTATCTGTCCCACCCAGTACCCACAGCTGGCAAGCCACAAAGAAAATCTCACAGAGTCTACATTAGGTTATAAACTGATTGGCCCATTAGGTCAGGGTACTTATTAGTCCTTGTAACTTATATTAATCCATTATCATTGTCTATGTTAGCCACACGGCTCAGTACCTTTCTCAGTGTGACAGCTCACATGTTGCCTCTTCAGTGGTCTGGGCAGGAATGGCGGAGGGAGCTTCCTGCTTCCCAGAATATTCCTGTTCTCATCACCCCGCCTCTACTTCCTGTCTGGTTGACCCACCTATACTTCCTGCCTGGCCAAACAGCATTTTATTAAAATACATGATTGACAGAATACAGATAATTCTCCCACACCACATATGCATTACATATACAAATATATACACACATAATAGATATGCTACCTAATCAGTTTTACTCGGTTATAGCAGCAGAAAAGGAACAAAGATAGTAAGTTACTTGCTCACAACCAGTACCAGAAACGGCAGCCCTTGTTCTCCAACAAGAACTCTGGTTAACATCAGAAAACCTTGTAATAAATTTGTACCCTGAAACCATAGGGTCTATCCAAACAATTCCACAGTTGGAGAAATTGGAAGCTTAAGGAATTTACTCAACAACATACGGCGACATAGTGGTGTAGCTTAGGTGAAGAAAGGCTTGGGTATCCTGACCCCCTTGCCAAGATGCTGATCCCAAACTCTACTCTGTTTTACCAATAAACACACAGAAAGGCCAGAAGGCCAGAAGTAGGGTGAATTGAATATTGTTGAAATATTTGTAACACTTTTAAGGTTAACATTAATGTTCCCTAATGAACAAAATGCTCAAATTTTAAAGAGAATGGGTTCAACCTTACACTTCTAAGATTCTCATCACTGACTGCACCCTTATCTTGACATTCTCTGTTTTTTTTTTTACTTAAATCTTTAACACCTCATTCACTGTGGCTATTTTTAAGCTAATTTTTGTTCCCAAGGCAGGTTACTTCAGCCTAAACCAAAATCTGTTCAGGACTCAGTGTCTGGACCTTAAGAGACCCTACTAGAGAACTACCAGGGATGGAGTAGATGCCTGTAAGTATTTATAGGTGAGATGCCTATCCCAGTTTTTGACTAATGAGACAGATCACTTTTAGTCAATTCTTCTGTGATTGAGTCATTGAGTTATGAAGAAGTGAGTGGCAAATGGATAATTATTTATAAATGCAGAGTTTATATAATGACTCCAGTTCTCATGTAAAAAAAAAACTGAGTCTCCCAGATATTAATCTTTTAGGAATGTGTGCGGCATACAGTATCAATAAGTCAGCTTTTCAAATACTAGGTAAATAAAGGATATTGACAACTGTCATGGGGGTGGGGGGTGGGAAGTCTTTGAATTGGCCACAGGCTTAACATAAGCCTGTGATGTGAAGTAAATGGAATCTCTTGCTATGCTCCTGTGACACTAAGGAATAGGAAGTTTATTCTCATGGGAAGCTAGGACCCAATGTTCATACTTAGGTTTCTTATAGGCAAGACTCAAGAATAGTGGTATATTATTTGTGTTTTAATAAATAAAGCTTTCCTGGAGATCAGAGTGCAAAGCAGCCACACTAGTCAGTCACATAGGCCAGGGAGTGGTGGCACACACCTTTAATCCCAAGACTTGGGAGACATAGGCAGATTGATCTCTGTGAGTTCAAGGCTACCCTGGGCTACATAAAATTAATCCAAAAACAGATCCAGAAGGGGGTGGTTCACACCTTTAATCCCAATGTTTGGGAGTCACATTTTTAATTCCAATATGGCTGGGTAGAGAGAAGAATATAAAGGGGAAGAAACAGGAACTCAATGGAGTGTAGAGTCTGACAATTTGTGGAGACAGGATCTCACCCTTTCAGTCTGAAGATGTGGTAAAGTAAAATGTCTCCCTGGTGATTGGCTGCTTTGCTTTTCTGATTTTTCAGCTTGAACCCTAATATCTGTCTCTGGGTTTTTATCATTTGTGTAACATCTGGCACCCAATGTTTGGGGTACAAACTCACAAAAAGCTGTTTGCCTGTGGATTTACAGCCACTGGCGTAGGCAGGAGCTGCAACAGCCACAGCCCTACCGGCTAGGTTTTCTTTCTCCTTTTTCGGCAGGCTCTCTCTGAACCCCCTTCTCAGGCTGCTGCCAGACTAGGCAGCTGCCTTAAAATCCAGTCAGGGTTTTATTGTTCTATACAGCAGCAATAAGCTTCCCATCTTCATCAACATTGCCAGCAGATTTGGTAAGACAATTGGGAATTCTTAGAGGAAGGAATTATTTAAAAGAGAGAGTTTTTTTCTCACATTAAAAAAAATGAGAAAAAATACAGTGGAGGAATTTGGGTCTCTGTATGATAATATGCTAGGTAGTTTGAAAATGGAATGATTAAATGAGAGTATAACTAATTTAGGTGGGATTCATGTAATGTCAATTGTAAGCATGATCAGCATTATCACTTTTGTTTTATCACTAAAAAGGTTGATTAATCTGAGTGTTAAGAAACAAGTTTTAGGAACATTTAAAACAGATCATAGAGATATTCAAATCCAAACAGACAAATTTAATGGAGAACCAATTTCAGCCTTGCATTATAAGAATAGAGAGGAACAGCCTAAGGTTTTCAAACAGCCAACCTTAATACATCCAGTAACCTTACAGGAACTGCCAAATTAGAGACTCTGTAAGAACTGAATAAACTCCTATGCCAATGTCAGGTTTAAGGAGATTCAAGGAAGCAATAGTCTCACATGGCATGCATTTACCTTTCGTGAAGCAAAATGCCTAGCATAAGGCCATGTATATCCAATATGCCTAGAACAAGGCCATGAATATCCATTATGCCTAGGACAAGGCCATGAATATCCAAAATGCCTAGAACAAGGCCATGAATACCCTAGGACAAGGCCATGAATATCCTAGGACAAGGCCATGAATATCCAATATGCCTGGAGCCTTAACCCAAAGGAAAAGTTGATGTAGACACACACACAAGGAGAATGCTTTGTGGGGATGAAGGAGATCAAACTGATATACCTTAACCCAAGGAACATCAGAAGATTACCAGGAAGCCACCCGAAGCTAGGGGAATTGATGTAGGTGTGTCTTTCTATGTGTTACTTTCATTGGTTAATCAAGAGACTGCTTGGCCTGATAGGTCAGAACATAGGTAGGCAGGGAAGACAGAACAGAATGCTGGAAAGAAGGCAATGAGGCAGTCGCCATGACTCTCCTCTCCGAGACAGCCGCAGGTTAGAATCCTCCTGGTAAGCCACCACCTCGTAGTGCTACACAGATTGTTAGAAATGGGTTAATCAAGATGTGAGAATTAGCCGATAAGAGGCTGAAACTAATGGGCCAAGTAGTGTTTAAAAGAATACAGTTTCCGTGTAATTAATTCGGGGGTAAGCTAGCCGGGCGGGCGATGGGAACCAGCCCGCTGCTCCTCACTACAGGGAATGACACAGAATGGATTATCCCTGACAGCTTCAAAAGCAGCTAACTTTTCTGACACCTGGTTTTGGAGAGAACACAGCATCTGAAGAGAATCTGAGGAGCACCTTCTTCAGCTGCAAAGAATCAATTACACAGCCTGGAGAGATTGCTCAGTGTTTAGAGTGCTCGCTGTTCTTCCAGAGGACCCAACTTCATCACCCAGCACTCAAATAGGACAACTTACAATCATCTAGTAACTCCAGCTCCAGGGCATCTAACACCCTCTTCTTGCCTCCTTGGATACCTACATATACACACATACAAATAGACAAGCAGACATATTCACACACATATAAAAATAAACCTAAAAACTGAAGCAGAGACAACCCACACATCTCAACATTCATAGACAAAGCTATCCCACAGAGTCAGGCATGTAGTAGGTATGCAATGGTTATTCATTTGTGAAAGAAATGAACTTCAAAGTAGCCCAGTACTGCTAAAGAAGAAAAAGAGATACAATGCCAGATAACCTTTCTTTGACATCTCCTTTCTACAAAGCATGGACCATTCGTTGCATCCTACTTCCATTTTGATACATAGACACAGTGTGGAGAACACCACCTTTCGTCTAGAGTCCTCGGGAAGGCCTATCGAAGAGAAGAACGTTTGGAGAAGAAACAAAAAGAAGACACAAGGAGTGAGATACACAAGGTACATGGAATTAGTTGTCGCAGGTATGAAATGCTCAAGAGACCCATGACAGGTCAGAGACTCTGGACAGTGATTGACATTTGTTAGGTTTACATATGGCAGCTTTATTTAAGCCTCACCTTCTACTGCTGTAGATGGAGACCCTGCTTTCATAGCATAGGCTCACAACTACTTCGTTCACGTCATTCAGTTGAATTTGCTAAGCATGCTAAGCGTAACTGAGGGATCAGCCGAAACTTCGCTCTTGTTAACAGTACACCACCTAACTGGGGACTTCTTAGAGTCTTTATTAAAGCTTCTCACACGATCCAGATCTCTTCCCAGGCATAGTTGACCCATGTTTTCATGTTGAAGTCTCTAAGAGAAGTGGTTTCTAATAGCAATCAATGTCCACTCAACCTTTTGTCCAGGTCATTCTCTATACTGTGGCTATGATGACAGTTCCCAAATCAAAACTATAGGTATCACTGCTCTCCTCAAAAGCCTCCGATGACAATGGTCCTCAGTTCAAGATGGTGACATTATCTGGGTGTCAAATTCCATGAAAATCCACACCAAAAAAAAGAAAATATTTTATCATTTATAAGTTAGACTTCAAGTAACCTGAATCTTTGACAGTCTCTATAGATTGGTATTACTCTCAAGATAAAAATCTACATTCATGGGGTATGGTGTTAATGTTTGATTCTCAGTCTAGTGTCAAAGCCCATCCTTAATATCAAGTGTGGCATGAGTAACTTTAGTCTAGTCATCGAAATTGTCTAGATTCTCTCTTCTTATTTTGTGGAAATCAGACAGTAGGTCGTGGCTGCCTCTTCTAGTGGTCCTGAAAGTTAAATGAGCTAACACCTGTAAGCCCAGGTCCCGACATCCTACAAGCACCGGCTGGCTGAAAACTGCAACTTAACAAGCTATGTGGGGCTCTTCACCCTCCACTAGTCCTCTTGATATTTTGCAGGTTTCTATCAGCTACTGTCTCAGCAAAGTACCGGAAATTGTGTGGCTTGGATGAGAAGGTGTCTTATTCCACAGTCTGAGTCTGAAATCATGGTGTTATGAGGACCAGATGGTTCTAGGGGCTGAGGAGGAGAATTTAACTTGTTCTGTGGGTTCTCTTCCTGGTTTCTACAGTTTGTTAGCAGCGTTTGGTATCCCTTGGATTGTAGGCACATCCTTCTCATCTTGTCCTTCTTGTACGGGACTCTGCCTCTGTACTTGTCTACACATCCAGATCTGTCACCTGTCTAAGGACACCAGTTATTTTGAACAAGATGCCTACCCTATACCCTCATTTTTAACTAATTATGTATGCAATGACCTTATTGACAAATAAGGTCATATTCTGATTGGGGGTGAGGAGCAAAACAACTCCACCTGAACAGGCCTTGACACATTTTCTTATCTTTCATCTCTGCCCTCGACATCTTTTACCAGCCTCCGGTAACCCACGAACTTGTTTGACGAACGAATTCCTACTTGATTCTCAGGTTTCGGTGACATCTTACTTTCTAAGTGCGTCCTAGCATTCTGCCACCCCATCACTTCTGATCCGAGGCCTTGCTCCTGTCCTCCCAGAGCCCCCAGAGTCACAACTCTTCTCATACCTGTCCTCCGTGGAAGCCTTCAGACTCCTGCTGGTCCTGGCTACGTGTCACCATGTTCCAGAACCTGGGCAGATCCTGAGCAAAGGACCTCTCGATGAATGTTTCTGCCTCATCTGATTTTTCAGATATTACTTATCTTGTGGCTGTGCAGCAATTCATAAGGTAAACAGCGGTAAGAACTAGGGAAGTTTTTAAGTTCTGCTTAAAGTTGAGTTCAGAGATGAGACACTGTGCTGGTTGTTTCAAATGAAAGGCTCTTGATGCAAAGAACATACTGTGCAGTTATCAGAAGGTGGTCCAGACAAAAGGCCGAGAAAGGCATGTGTGAGTAACTTCCGGAAGACGCTACCGCCAGCAAGAGTGAGAGAACAGGAGGGAAATGGCGAGGCTGCCAGAGAGATGCCGGGCATAGGAAGTTCACATTTGGGTAGCAGTGAGAGCCCAGAAAGAGGAAGAATCATCTGACTAAAGCTTGAACTTCAGAGCAGGAGAACAGCTCGTCCAGGGGTACTGAAAGGAGCTGGAAATTAAACAGCGACTGTCCTTGCCTGCCAGCATGGTCATCAAGATATCCCGCAGGAAATGCTCAGAAATAGAGTTTGCCGATCTCAGCACCAGCATCACAGAAGTCGAATAATTGCTGAGCACCAGCAGCTCCAATGTGCACTAGCAGCAGAAGTCCGGTCTGACCTAGAGGTGTGTGGACCACCAGGGATTAGGGATCAGTCCTTAAAATAGGTTTCTACTGATGGCTGGCACATGCCAACCATACCCTTCCACCAAACATTTTATTCTTCTGAGATTCAGGTTCACTCTCCTTGACAGGAAGAAGGACCAAGATGACTTGAAGGTCTTTCCGAATATGCACAGGGTTTGGAGTAAAAGAAACGTCAGGGAATTTTGAATGATACTGACACCCTCAAATCTACAGGAGTCTGCCTCCGGCTTTCACTGTCGTGTGCATGAATAGAGCACTTCCTGTCTCTGGTTCTGTGGCTTTTGTCACTGTGACTCAACAAAGGAAGGAAGCTGGCCCTGTGTTTCTCCATCACAGTGCCTCTTGAGCAAACCAATTCCAGAATGAGCCCTTGCATGGAATGTTTAGCTGCAAACTTCGAGAAGTAAAGGGAGAAATCACCAAAGTGGCAGCAGGGGAGCAGAGGTCAGGGAGAAGGGACCAAGTTGGGAGGTGACTGGGAGTTGATGTTCTACATGCAGAAGGCCTAGGGTTTATGTGCACCTGTTTTGCTGCAGGGTTGTCTCCAGCTCTCTGTCTCTCTGATTCCCATGGTGCAGTTGGGAATTTAGGAAATGGGGAGACTCGGTTTACATCTCAGTTTGGCCTTACATTATCAGGGAGATCGAAAGCTGTCTGTCTCCTTATGTGCAGTTCTGCCTGCCTTCTAGACAACAAAGATCAAAGGAGCTAAAACATGCAGGTGCGCTCTCTCCCATCAGGCACTTCTTACAAAATAACAGTCTGTTGTTGTTGAATATTCTTGTCTCTTTTAGGCCCAAAACTTGCTATGCAATCCAGGCCTATATTGAATTTGCAAATCTTTGGCCTTTGCACCAAAATTCTGGAATTATAAGCACAAACCCCCATGCCCAGAAGAGGAATCTTTTTATGAACATTCATTAATGTATAATATGTGATGATGTCATAATGGAACACATTATTTGATACACAAACTAAAAAAGAATTAGCTGAAATACACTCATAAAATGCATGAAATATATTTAAAATGCTTATGTATCTGTATGTATCCTCAATGAGACAATTGCTAGAATGTGAAAGTGAAGAGTGATTTGAACTTACTTTAATTGATGAGTTGAGAGAGATACCATGAGATAAGACATGACTTACTTAGATAGTGGACCCAGTAGTGTGAAAAAATAGCATAAATGGAGTCAAGCGTTCCTGGTTAACATTCACCGCTGAAATATGCAGGTATCTCCTCTGTTTGAACTTTAGCTTCATAAAAGGAAAGCATGCTTACAGGAGAAAGGGTAGGAAAAGGCAAAGATGAAAATTCAAAATATCCATATTTTCAGCCTACACACAGAAAAATGTAAAGATGATCTGTCAATCTTAAGTGTCACATAAATGTGTGTGTGTGTGTGTGTGTGTGTGTGTGTGTGTGTGTGTGTGTGGTACAAGTGTGAATCTGCACCCCCCCCTTGCAGGTGTAGACACCAAAGGAAGATATCGGCTATCCTGGCTCACTCCCTTGAGACAGATTCTCTCACTAAGACCCATGCTCGCCATGTTTTGGAACTAGCTGGTAGTGCACAAGTCCCATTGATTCTCCTGTTTCCACCCTCCAACAACTCTGGGGTTACAACCGCGTACAGCTACAGCAGACTATTTTATGTGGGTGTTGGGGATTTGAACTCCAGTCCTCGTGTTTGCACAGCAAATGCTCTCACCACTGAGGTGAGGCTCTCACCCCGGTCTGAAGTTGAGTATTCTTAGAAGCCAATATGGATAGCAAGGTCAGAACCTTCAGAAGTCAAGGATGCTAACACTAAGAAATGGCACGGTGGGAGGAATCACTGTTGGTGTGTTGATAGACGGCAGCTGAAAACCATAAGAACCTATGGAGATTGGTGAACTCAAGACCATGTGTTCCAACGGAGAGAACTCTCCTACGCTACTCTAACTTCTTATTTTCACACTTCTGGTATGACTGGCTCACTGATGATTTTATGAGAAGCTAAGCTGCTAAAATTATATGTGCATCTCCAATTTTTAACTGTTGGAGGTTGATTAATTCTTTCAACTCTGCAGGCTAAACCAAAAACAACATCTGCGGGCCAGATGTAGTCTGCGAATGCCAGTTTGCAGGCACCGCTACAGACAGAGAGGGTAGGGTTGAATTCATTGAACTCTCCGTACCAATAAAAAAAAAAAAAAAAAAAAAACAGGAGCAGACTGTGCAGTTGGGAAAATTCCTAAGGACAGCTAGCGGAAAGAAGGGCCGGTGTGGACGAAGGCTAGAAGTGATGGAAGATTCAACTGGAGTAATGATAAAAAAAAGCAAGCAAGCAAACCTCACTGCAGTCACAGGGGCAACTCTGATGAAGAGAGGGCTTGAGGCATTGAGGAAGTGATGCAGAGAGAACCAAGAACCTAAAAGAAGTGACCCCCAGAGCAGTTTTGTCTTGTAACTCTGGGAAGCCACTGTTTAAATATGAGGAAGGAAATGTGCCTTGTTTGACAACAGACAGCTTGTAGAGGAAGCAGGACTTGATGTTGGAAAAAGACTGAATAAGGCATTGGCTGTGAGCCTTGATAGTGATGGTGGTCATGAGGAAAGATCAGCCTCAGTGACAGGGCCCTGGAGGGAAAGCAAGGGATCCGAATCCTAGTCCTACAGTCCTTAAAGCAGTATTTAGGCCCTTTAATACAGTTCCTCAATAACCATGAAATTATTTTGTTGCTACTTCATAACTATAATTTTACTACTGTTATGGATCATAATGTGAATATCTGATATGTGAACTATCTGATAGGCGACCCCTGTGGGTTCGAGACCCACGTGTTGAGAACCGCTGCTGAAGGGACTGGGAACGCTCAGAATGGAGAAGAAAAGTCATGGGGCAATGGGAGCTTGTCTCTCACGGCAATGGCTGGAGTGTCAGCATGCACAGAGCTCTAGGGGTGATGGCCTTTAGCAAGAACAAAGGAAAATCTGTGCTGTATCTCCCTGCCCTGAGAAGTCTTTTGGGAAAAGCTACCAGTAGAAAAATCTCACGAATCAAATCAAAGGTATAGAATTGTGATGTATACTGAGGTAGCAAGGGGCTCAGTGGCGGATGGGAGAGGGGGAAGGCTGGCTTCCAGAGGAAATGACAACTGAGCTCAAAACCAAGAAATGAGTAAGCAGGGACTGTTCCACAGGGGAGAAGAAAGTTTTTGAACACCAGGAACAGCGTGTGCAAACACTAACTTCCAGGAAGGACCGAGAAGGGCCACCAAGGCTGGAGCCAGGTTTCCCACCACCTCCCTCTCTGTGTCCACCTCGGAGGCCGCTTTGCTGAAGGAGGACGGACCTTGCTGATGGAGGTGATCCTTCAGGGCACCTTTGAGGGAGCATGATCTGCAACCCTGCCTATCTGTTGGACAGTCAAAAAGTACCCACCAGCAAGTTGCATGCAAAGATAACATACATACACTCAGCATGGAAAATAGGTCGCCAGAACCATGCCAGGCAGCCCCAGCTCTCTTCTAAAAGCTTCCTCGTTGTTTAAGTTTTTGTCATCATCATTTTCATTTCCTGGTTTCGTCTTACATCCTTCCTCCTCCCCTTCTAAATGGATTTCTTAAAGAAAAAAAAAGCCCTAACAATTTCTAATTTTACTTCTTTGCTGTTATCTGTAAATTCCCTCCCTGCCCTCACGCTAGGGTAAAACGGCTAGGCACTACAACTGTGATGGTATATTCCAGAACACAGAACTCTGTGGAAGCACAACCCGACAGGTGAGAACTACAGCACAAGTCAAAAGAACATTATCCTTGTCTCTCCTGCCTCAGGCCTCTCCTCTCCCAGTCCCTAGCCCACCTCTTTAAACCTAAACTATTAGCTACTCAAAAAAAAAAAAGCACCCAATCCTGACCCTTGCCAAATCTGGCACAGGGCTCCTGAGCACACCCCAGTGGAATGGTCTCTCTTAGCTTGTCATCTACCTTCTTCCAGACTGCGCTTTCTGTGGCCTGAGCTACCTCCTTTTGTGGTTTATTTAGACCTGAGACTCTTCATCCCAGCATCCAGGGACTTCCAATGCGCATAGTCTAACTCGTCTGTTTCCATTTCGCTTCTCACTTATGGGGGCAACAGCACCTCCGGGGATATCTGCTGTTTCTCAAGCAGAGATGCAAGGTTCCTACTTCTGTACCTTAATCTGTGCTGTTTGCTGGGTCGTTCTCTCCTTCCTTGTCTAACCACCAAAATCCCAGGGGGGCTTCAAACCCAGCTCCATTGTGTGACTACATATGAGCGTGGGCATGCTTAAATTTGTGTGTGCCGTCCAGAGACTGCAGTCCAGTTTTCTTCAGTCACTTCCCACCTTAGGTTTTGGAGACCAGTGTCTATAGGTGATCCTGGAACTGACCAGCTCAGCTAGGCTGAAGAGTGAGCTTTAGGGATCCTCCTGTCAGCATCTCCCCAACACTTGAATTGCAGATATAAACTGGTGAAGTTTACACGCATGCTGAGCATTCAAACACAGGTCCTCGTGACTGTGCAGCAGTGCGTTCCTGACTGAGCCTTCTCCCGAAAGCCAGAATGAGCATTTTTTAGGATGTTTTTTCATCTTCCTTGACACGTCTAGCAAAAGCAGCCTTCTGTTGAGTGCATATCCCTTTCCACACTTCTTCCGTAGTCTTTACAACAGATTGTCTTTTTACAATCGTTCTTAGTACTACATGGCTGTAAATTTTCGACGTGGATGCCATAGCATGAAGAATGATCGCTAGAGCTGACAATAGATTCAGGCTTCGTAGAGGAAGTGTTATTGGATTTAACAAAGTAAACATTGAATCACTTTTTTTTTTCTTATACTACAATGAGGACAAGTTCCTGAGTCACTCCCCATATATCTAGTGCATTCTTTTTTTAAAAAAGATTTGTTTATTAATGTATACAGGGTTCTTATTGCATGTGTCCCTGCGGGCCAGAAGAGGGCACCAAATCTCATTACAGATGGTTGTGAGCCACCATGTGGTTGCTGGGAATTGAACTCAGAACCTCTGGAAAAGCTGCTCGTAAGTACTCTTAACCTCTGAGCCATCTCTCTAGCCTTCTAGTGCATTCTTTAATGACTGCATATCACAATATAGTATATGGTTTTCTTCTCATTTGCTTAGCTATTTTCTCTCCTGATCAGTTAAGGCTTCAGAATATTTCTTTACGAGAGTAGCTTTCACGTCTCTTAAGAAAGAGCTGTGTAACAGTGGAATTCTAG